GGAATGAATGATGAAAAGTCTTTCCATTTCCCAGTCATTCAAATTTCCTCTAGCTATGGCGCGTATGTCAGCTGTGAGATATTTTTTGTCGAGTTCTCGGAAAAGTTCTACAGAAGTGGACCATGGCCAGCCTGATGGGTCATCCGTACCTGAGAAAAATATAGCAATTTAAGACTGCACGCGAGTATAAGTGTTGCCTTTGAGCCAATTGATTGCATCACAGATTTTCTTGAACTCAGAATCAAAGTTCCCTCCGCTTTTATTCCACTTAGGGATCAGTTTAAATTACCAAGCATTGTAATCATTGTGCCTTTTTACTGCGTCTTTCTGATCACCTGAGAAAAGGTCTATGGATGATGGCTTCTTCAAGCAAATCATACTCGGCAGAAACGATTGCGTTGGTTGTTGCTGCAGGACAGAATCTTGGGGAACTGTGGAAGCTATGAAAGGAGGTTTCTGCATCTTAATTGGTACCTCGGATAATTGACTTTTGAGCAATGAGATTTCATTTTTATGTTACTTGTACGCTGATCTTAGTTTTTAAACCTCTTTGTTTCTCTCCTCATTCGTCTTTTGTAGGCCTTGTAGAATTTGCCTCTGGGCTACACAGTGTCTATTAATAAATCCGAAAATTCCATGGAAAATATCTCTCACTTCTGCTGGGGCATTAGTCAATATAGAAAGTTCGACTTTCTTTTCAAAATTGACGTCATCAAGCGTTGTGGGAACCAAATTAGAAACTAGATTCCTGATAGTGCGTAGGATACGCTTAACAATAACCCGATGCGGTCCTCAAGTTGAGCGAGAGAACCGGAAAGAAACTCCTTTATGGAGTCAGCGTTTTCCATCGCAATTTTCAGCGATGTATCAGACGAGAAAACGACGTTGAAATCATTAGAGCACCGAGAGATAGAGGCAATTCCATCATTGAGACCGGGCACAATTTGAATGAAAGCAGACTTGACTACGGTTGCGTCTACTCTGAGGAGCGGAGTTTCCTCGGAGAGGCGGAAGGTAGCTTTGGGGCCCTTGGTGATTGCAGCTTTTTTTGGAATGGGCGTACAAGAGGGGCGGCACGTTGTTTTGAGTCGAGACGAAGACGGCGCCAGAGCGACAGTCGCAGGCGGGCCTGCTGCGGTCAATGCCCAACTCCGTGATTGCTTTGCTGTGGGAATAGGGGGTCGTGGTGGGTTGCTTTGGCCAGGCTTGGGTAGGCAACCCGACGATTTGGGTTGTATGTGGCTGTCGAGTCGCATAGGGTGCTTGGAAGCAACTGCTAGGAGAAACGCGTCTAGTTGCTCACGCACGAAGGACTGAATGAGAGTATCAGCCTCTTCAACGGCTAATAAAACTTGGTGTGAGAGGATTGAACCTAAGTAGCTCGACCCTTTGCCATGCGCTGGACAAACTCGAGCTCTTCAGCGATGTGCTGGGCCAGAGGAGGTGGTTGTTGTGATTTGGCCATCACGGGCGCGATGACCAAACTATAATGCACTTAATAGGTATCGAAATGTAAGAATCGACTTAGGCGAACAACTGGATAGGAAAAGGGAGACGACGATGTGTATAAACGGCACTGTGGCTACTATAGTAATAATAAATTCATCAATCACACATTTTTCTGGAATACAGCAAAAATTTTCACAGATGAAAAGACGGGAAAGACAGGAATGAGCCAAAGAGGAACACCTTCCAGTATCCATAAACACCTGAGCAGGGCCCAGAGCAGCATAGCCATGCAGATAAGAAGCGAACACAATGGGTTCAATTCCTTTCTGCACAGAAGAAAAATTCCGGGAGTAGACAATCCACGATGCCCATGTGGATATCCGTCCCAGAATGTGAAGCATTTGATCATGGCCTGCACAAGCTGGGGAAATGTAGAGGAGAAATACTGAGAATGGCAGAAAACCGGTCATTTGAGGCCATAATGAACTATCCCACAGATATTGCAAGGATAACCAGATGGATCTGGCAGGAAGGAAGGCTATAGCAGTTTCGACTGACGCTTGCAGTCGAGGCTACGATGAGGGAGAGAGGGGAGAGCAGGGGAAAGATGATCTCCTGCCAGTAGCAATGAAGTGGACGGTGCCCGCACTGGATATAACAGTATTAGTGCACTTTATGAAAGTGACACAACCTTAAAGTGTATATAAATTGAAAAGTTGGTGGGGTTTTTACCATAAAGGTTTCCTCCTATATAAATATTAATGTTCGTAGACATCTGCATAGCCCTTAAGGCGCCAATTCGGGCTACATGATATCAAATTCATATCACACATTTTTTACTCTTGTGTCACATGACTTCAACATAGTCCCAATATAGATATACATAACTATAAATGGATATCTAGTCTTCGTGGCTCAGTTGGTTAGAGCATTGGTCTCATATGAACTTATGTATGAGGATATCAATGATATCCAGCCATCCAAAGGTCGCGAGTTCAAGTCTCGCCGAGGACAATTGGTTTTTGTGCTCGTGTGTCTCTGATAGTTCATTTTAGTATTATTTAATCTATTGCAATCAAATTCACTCTTAAGCAATAACTGATAAATTGGAACTAAGTACAAATAGAGAGAGCAACGTAGTGATTGTCCGAGCCCTCTACTACAGTAACATGGACATAGGGATAAGTGTCCAGGTTTGAGAATTGGTTGAAACAGATAACTGAAAATTCGCTATGTATTGTTTGACTCACGATATGTACTAGTTTGTGTGGACAGCCTTGGCTCAGCTAGGAGCAAAACTGCGTCGGAGTGAAAGATAATAAGCTTTTCACACACGGGCGTTCGTATGCGCGTCACAAGTTGATATGAACATTTCTCAAGATCCAGGGGGCACAAATTTGCTTACACGGGCATGAAGAATCCCTCCCAAGGTTCTACCGATAAGTATGTGCGAGATCTCTTTCACTCTTCATCGCCCTGAATGAGTTGCGCCAGGGCCACCGTCAGTTACGAGATTTGGCGACTCTGCGTACCCCCGATCTTGCTCCTCGGCAGGGTATTACGACGGCATAGGGAAGTGCACGTCGATCGAAGTGGGTGGACCGGGGGCTGGAAGAGATGTGGGTATGCACTTGGGACGGGGAATCAAGCCATGCCGTCCACTTTAAAAAAGACCCTTCATTCCCCGCCCACAGCCAGGTTCAAACTATGCCAGCGTTGTGTGCGATGGCGTCGTATATGGACCAGCTAGGCCTGCGCGGACGACGGTTGTCGCGTTCACGTCGCTTATCTTACACCGCGCGCTTCGTGTCATTTTCATGCGGAGCGACATTACATGCGTCATCGAGAGGCAGGGGCGTGACTCGTGCTGAGCATGACAGGCTCTGCAAGGAGGGTTGGAGGTGGAAAATCGCTGAGTGCGTTAAGGCAGGCAGGGGACCTCACGACATCTTGATGCACCAGGAGACATGAATAGTCGCCGTTGTTACTTGTTACTTGCCGCGGTCAATAATCGACCGAGGTGGGGCCGCGAAGCTTGCAAATCCGGAGCTGAGCCCCATGTCACCAAGGATGTGACACGACGTCCACCATGCATCAGACTCGCGCTAACGAGACTCAATTGTGCGTGAATGGCGTTCGCTCGACTTCTGACCGAAGCGTTGCAACGCAAAACATCTCACGAGTCACCGGCAAGTGAATCAGCGTTGTCACTCAGCACTAGTCTATCACATTACGTCATATTACGAAGGGAAGAGCAAGTTTTGCACACGAGAAAATTTGGTTTGTGCCTTGCGAAGCTAGTAGGAAGTTGGCAAGCTACCTACAGATCCCCCGCCCAATCGCTTCTCTGCCTGAATCTTAGTCTAGCCCACCTATCATAGTCTCCGACCAAAATGAGAGTCCCGCCATGTATGCAGAGAAGCAGTCCAGGAGCGAGTCCTTCTGTATCTGCGCATAAGAGTGCATGGTGCAAGGCAAGCCAGTCCAAACCGCAGTGCATCTACCAGTTTAACTACCATCTTCCGCTTGTCTGCGCGTCGCTCTGGACACTCTTTCGCTTGTAATCCCGATAAAATTTGCAACGACGAATCCCCATCGTATCCTGATAGAGTAGTCCGCGGAGATCCAAGTCTGTGTTGGTCACTATACGACCAGAGCCCTGTATTTCTAGTGCCATAATTAGCTCAGATCAGCATGACGTCGGTGACTGTAAGGAGGGGAGGAGTATGAGCTGGACTTACTTTTACCCTGCACAAGCTTTCGGCGCGCGTTGACCGGCCACAAAATAGAGTCGCGAGGCAAGCCAAAATTTTTGGCGTCAGTAAATGCCATGGGAAATTTGTTTCGTCGAGCATTGTCCCTAAGGCTACCGGGACTCGAGTTTTTGATGTGGCGCCTGGCCTTTTCGAGGGCCCGCTGAATACGTTTTTGCGTGATGAAGATGGCAGAAGTGCCAGTTTTGCAAATATATCCAGCGCGTTCCTGTCCCATAACGATTTGTGACATGCCACTATCCGAGGGCGAAGTCAGCATGGGATAGGGAATGGCTAGAGAGAAAACTACGCAAGCTAGCGGTAGGAGGGACAAGAGGTTGAGGCATCGCATTTGGAGAAGAGTAGCGACACGGATACGCTAGTGACGAGTGTTGAAGAAGTAATAAGACGATTTTGGTTGGGTCGATGGAATGCAAGTAGTTTTGATGAAAGCACAATACGAGCTTGATTCATGGTATGGCGTAAGGAGGAGGAATCCAGAGTCCATATAATGGTCAGCATTTAGCAAGTTCAGCCTTTAATCGTGTCGAGTCACTCTCGCCGTCGATGGAGATTTGAGGCGTCTCAAGCTAGCCTTGGCGATAGTGGGGTTTCAGGACTGAATTTTGAGATGGCTTTCTCAGCAGAGACAAGGCATTCTGTAGGGTCGTTGTCTCAATATCCTTCATTACTCATAGGTGTCGAGGGCCTGACTAAGGCCCACAGTTATCAGGTATTCCTAGCCTTTTACCCGGTCGAAGAGGGGATGAAGGGCGATCAACACAAGTCATGATGGGCTTACAGCCACTGGCTCCGCTTAACTTGCGATGGGTTCGTCTCGGGATAATGAAAGAGTAGAGGCAGGACGTGAAGCCTAGGAGCTTGCCTCGCACCGCCCCGTCTATTCTCCGCCTGTACTAAGGTGGCCGTTAGCGCAGACGATTTCCATCCGTACTCGCAGTAGCCCGACCTGGCATGGAGTCCCCGATCGCAAGGGCCGCCCAGAGAATGAGAGGAGGCGTATGGTATGAAGCATCTAGTTAGATTACAAACTTCGTGTAAAGGCTCTTCTACCGTATCCGCAGTTTCCTTGTAGTCTTGGCTCAAGACTTTCGGGAGTGGTTCCAATCTTTCCCATGCTCCTGGCGACTCGGCACTCTGATTCCCTCGGAACCCATCACCGCTCGTCTTGAAGAGGAACATCTGAATCTTGCAAGCAGTAGGTGGATTTAGTGTGGTGCCGTGATGTGAAAGCTCTATTTTCCGACGAGTGCAATCGGTGATCGAATCAAGCGCTCCTAACAATTTGTGAGAAGACTTCTTGGCGAGAGATACGTAGAGGTGCGTGGCGTCAATACCACGACCCATATGCACAAAGCTATCAGAGAGCTTTGAATTCCTGAAGATTGATGATGGGGGCAGGGGCTGATAGCATGCTAACCAAGATGTGGTGGCTAATCTCCAGCCACCATGCACCCAGCCGTAAGAAGACACACGAAACAAAATTGGTCGGATGGCGTACTTGAAGAGCCCTCATCCGACATCGCGATAAGCATCAACAGACAATGGCCGCAGATCCCAGAACACTTCGCACGAAGACTGAGTCGTGTATGGTCAAGAAATGCTCCCATGCTTGGAGGTTTTCAAAATTTCCCCGTGTAAAAGTATAGGTCAAGTGGTAACTACTGATAGATGTCATCATAGTCTTCGCTGCGGTGCCATTCGAGAGGGGGCTTAGATATCAACCAGCGCGATTCGGCTACTATGACTAGGGCAATGGAATGAACATCTTGAGCGCTGAAAACTCTACTAAGGTACCTTTCTTACGCACTGAGAGACGAAAATTTATATCATCTCATTATTTGAATTGGCTAGGACGACAACTCCTCACCTGCAAGAAATTGACTATTTGTTTTGTAAAATGCCAGGCACTAGCCCTGTATCTAATTCAACGGGGGCGGCTATTCTCAACGCCTTCAGTGATGTCCCCTACGAACCTCCAGCTCTCAGTGTAGAGTCTGCAGAGCCGAGATTGAGTAACAAAGTCCTCACTTCGATGAGAATTCCCAATCGCTTTCGAGGTCTGTATCGTTTTCATATCTCAACACAATTAGACTCAGATAAGACAATAAAATGAATTAATGATGAGAAATAAAATCTCTCAACACATTCCCCTATCACTATTATCATGAAGCTAACCACAATCAGATCAGATAGTGGGGTCGAAGCCCTTCTTATCACCTACAATTGATCGTGGAGGAAAAGCCATCTGATGACTTTCTGAATCGTACCTAGCACCTGATACGGACATGGTGGATTGGATCAAGTCGGCCTCGACTGTTACAAAGAAGGCAGGAGGGCAACACTGAATACCTGTACACGGTGTCCTCTACGAACCTGGGAGTGAGATATCCTCCCAGAGCCAAGTTCAGTCAAGTTTCGCAATATCAAAGAAGTTGGCCCACGAGGCAATGATTCAAATTACTCCTCCACGTCGTTTTTTCACTCCCAACGAGTTTGGCTCCTACCTAAGTCTCATCAAGCCTACAAGTACGATCTAGTACATCCTCATTCCAATGACCACACCTCTCGCCGACTTTCTCTGGCCTCAACTAGTCGCTAAATACACGCCCACGCCGATATTTACAGCCGGCGGAGGAAGCAAAGCGTGGCGCACAAATCTGGGAGACTGCTCTTTGGGATGGGCGTGGGAGGGATCAGGAAAAGTTCACAAGATGATGCAGAGAAGTATACATTCTCGACGGGCGTGGAATTTTGGCAAGGAGTTTAACAAATTGAGCTGTATGCGTGCGTAAAGAATTCAGTTGAGAGAGTGCAGGCGACACTATAAACACTGCCATGGCTAGATGGTGCGGTGGTACATCGTCTTGGCCGGTCTGCCAAGTAGTGTCTGCATAGCTTGGACACATATCCCACTTGAGACAGTAGATCACTGGTTCAAATCTGTCAAAACACAACCATATTTCTCGCGGCGCTTATATATGTGGATGAAGAAGGCATGCTTGGATAATCAAGGGTTTTGAATTTCCCTTTGGTGGGTACTTACGGAGGAGGGTCGACTGTTTGTGTAAGCAAGCATACCTCATAGTGGTATTTGCAAATGAAATCCAGAGTATGAGTGTCTCTAACGTCAAAGGAGTCATCCAACATGTATACATAGCACCGGTCATGTGTCATAGCTAGACAGCTGAATACACATTAAATGACTTCAAAAAAAGGAGATATAGATAGATATGCGCACCTCATGTGGTCCGGTGTTTGTGTTTATTGTGCTACTTGAGTCTATGACTATCTAGCACATTGGGCTCCTCTCTGACCTAGGCCACACCTTGTACAGCGCTCCTATCCTCTTTTGTTACTTGAAAGATCATTGATATATTCCCCTTGATGAGTAGCCATTCAGCTCAGTATTTACCCGTGGGATTGGGCCACCTTAGCCACGGAACCTTCTACTCAAAAAAAATTAAAATGGTAGCAATGGAAACTGCGTGCGCTGGAAAAAGTCTCAAAAACCTGCAGCTCCAGCCAGGCGAGGCCTAGGCACCGGGACCATATGAAGTGCGCATATTCATCTATATCTCCCTTCTTCGTAACAGTCGAGGCCGACTTGATCCAATCTGCTATCTCCGTATCGGGTGCTGGGTACGCTCCGGAAACTCATCGGATGGCCTCTCCTCCGTGATCAAGGGTTGGTGATTAGTAGGGTTCTGACCCTACCCTCTGATCTGATCGTCGTAGCTTCTTGATAATGGTGAAAGGGGTATGTGTTGAGAGATGAAGACCATACAGACGGCGAAAGCGATCTGGAATCCTCGTAAAAGTAAGGACTTTTTAACTCTATCTCGGCTCTGTAGACTCTACAGTGAGAGCTGAAGGTTCGTAGGGGGCACCACTGACAGGTGTTGATAATAGTCCCCCTAGTGTGGTCCGGTGTCTAGGCCTCGCCTGGCTGGGGCCACAGCTTTTTTGAGGCTTTTCCCCGCGCACGCAGTTTCCATTGCTACCATTTTTTTTGGGTAGAAGGTTCCGTGGCTAAGGTTGTGATATGCTATCACCAAAACAATAAGAACAAAGTAAGCTGGCCGTAATACAGTCTATTTTCTAACTATCTAGGGAATGGTATCTATTTAGGCTATTGGACATATATACATGTAGCTCTGACCCCAGGGAGGTTAATATCTATCGGATCGGTGATCTATCGGCGATCACTTTTAATCTCATAACAGAAAATCGGCGATTTGCACACAGATAGGCACAAGCATCTGGATGTAAGGCGCAGCCTGTAACAAAGATGGCCGAATTCCACGGGTAAATACTGAGCGGAATGGCTACTCATCAAGGGGAATATATCAATGATCTTTCAAGTAACAAAAGAGGATAGGAGCGCTGAACAAGGTGTGGCCTGGGTCAGAAAGGAGCCCAATGTGCTAGATAGTCATAGACTCAGGTAGCACAATAAACATACACATTCTAACCCCTTTATCCCCCTACTCGGAGGGCAAGACTGAACACCTGTACGCGGTGTCCTCTACGAACCTGGGAGTGAAATATTCTCCCAGAGCCAAGTTCAGTCAAATTTCGCAATATCAAAGAAGTTGGCCCACGAGACAAAAATCCAAATCACTCCTCCACATCGTTATTTCGCTCCCAACGAGTTTGACTCCTATCTTTGTCTCATCGAGTCTACAAGTACGACCAAATATATCCTCATTCCAATGACCACACCACTCTTTGACCTTCTCTGGCCTCAGCTGGTCACCAAATACACGCCCACGCCGATATTTATACCCGACGGAGGAAGCAAAGCGTGGCGCACAAATCTGGGAGACAGTTCTTTGGGATGGATGTGAGAGGGATCAGGACAAGTTCACAAGATGATGCGGAGAAAGGATATAACCTCGAAGGGCGTGAGATTCCGAATTTTGGCAACAAGTTTTAAAAATTGAGCTTTGTGCGCGCCATGACTTCGCTTGTGAGAGTGCAGTTGACACTATAAACACAAGCCGACGATGGAAGATGTTGTGGTCCGCCTCCTGTTGGTGTTCTCTAGTATAGTTTGAGTAGCCTGGGCACCTACTCCACTTAGGAAGGAGACATCTCAGATCATATTTCGCGCGGAGAAAAGTTGATGGATGACGGAGGCATGTCTGGATAACTCAGGGTTTGAGACGTTCCCCTGGGTGGGTATTCACGGATGAGGGTTGACTTGGGGTGAAGAAAAAGCCACCATAACTTCGCAGTGGTACTTGCAAATGAAATCCGAGCCATGAGTGCTCTTCCTTTACGTTGAATCATCTAATCTGTACTTTTCTTTGATATTGTGTCATAGCTAGATAGCTGCATACGCAATTAAAATCTGATGCAAAAAAAAAAATCCCTCTACTAACCTTCCAGTGGTGCCGGTGTAATCGCTCAGTATGCTCTGTATATCTGAGATAGTCAAGAAGAATCGCATCCGAATCGAAGTCGAAAGCATACATAGACACATCTATAATAGGCGACTTCACATCAATATCAGTCTTGTCATTCTCTCGAGAGACCTCTACCTTAACCTGTCCACACGCCACCTCGCCTCAACGACCGATAAAGGCGTCACTTCAATTGCAAACAGGAGCTTGCCTCATTCATAACTGGCCTTGACCCACTTCAAATTTACAACGCTATGTTTACCCGCAAGGAGGAAATTAAGTCATAATGTACAAAGGTCGGATCATGGTTTATGAAGGACTGTTGCTCTAATAAGGTTATACATCTTGAGGAAGGATAGGCGGCTGATATGTGGAGCGAGAGAGCGAACAGGTCCCTGAAGAGCTTGCTGGGACCGATATTTCCGAGGGGCTTTCAACATTGGAACGTTTGTGGGCGCCAAGACCGAGATTTCTGCTAATTTGCCAGGAGGACTTCTTTTTTCGATGAGTCAGTGGCGCTCCCTGAGGCTCTGGACGGCACAAAAGAAGTTGGGCTAAGCTATTATACAGCAATCACGCTCTGTCAAGACATTTCTGACATTTCAGCCCGACTTTCGGGAAGGAGTTGGAAGGAGGCTAGAAATGCAGAGTGTGAGTTTCCCGAGGTACACATAAGTCTGCATCGCCCAGCTGGTCGGCCTCTACGAACGCTTCAGAAGGGTCACTATATCTTCAGATTTAGTCCTAATGTCGGTATGAAGAGAGCTCTGCACCCAGTGGCTTTTGCGATTTTTCCCGGCTGCCATTCACCCGCAAATAGCCATCTTTTCGCTGGCTGGAGAGTGGAGATAATGAAGGGCAAAGGGCTCCACTAGATGTATGATCGAATGAGGACTTGTGAGAGGTGGTACTGTTTGAGGGGAGCTGTCTGGTAGGAAC